ATATAATATATTAGATATAGATATATTATATGTATTAAGTTATATAGTAATGTGTAAGGTAAGTAGGATGTATGAGACGATACTAGATATATAGGCTACCTACGTATATAATATATATTAATATATATTTATATATACTGAGTGATATATATATATACACACATACCATTTAAATATTCTTATGTACATGTAGTATACACACACACACATATCGCAGAGTAGTTCTATTTTCTAAGTTTGAGCATGAGTACGATCTGATATAGAGAGAGAGTAGATATGATTAGAGAGCACGTGAAGATAGCATATAGTAATAGTATCTTAGATATGATGACCTAATCAGATATCATGGAATGATAGAGAATAGTTAATTCTATTTGATACTATTCTAAGATGCTATCATATCCGCTATATTAGATATATAAGCAATGAATGAGAGAGCATAATATAGCTGAGATAGAGGTAAGTCAGATTATATATATCATATATTATAACAGCGTGTATATAGGGTGGTACGGTAGTATTAAGGAGAATAAAGGATATGCTATTTTGTTACAGTTTACTTTCCTTACTTCCCCACCCTCTACCCCCTTAGCTATATATATATATATATATATATATATATGTATATTATATACATACATATTTACACAAATTTATATATGCATATATTTCTCCACCACATTAATAAAACGAATAGCTTTAATCTGATGTATGTGCATTATTCGATATTTGAATATATACTTATATAGGTTGCTTATTAGGCTCGTGTTGTAGTTTTTATCAATTTTATTATTATAGTATAGATTAGCAGCTGTAAATAGGAGTTTTAATAGTATATATAGTATGTCACACCGACACATCAGGAATTAAAAAGTAATAATTTGTTCTTAGTAGGTATTTATAACATAAAGGGGTGGTAAGGTAAATATATACTTATATAGGATAGTAGTGAGTATATAGATAGTATATAAGAGTATAGGCTTTAATGTACTAGGGAAGGTTATCAGTATGATATATATAGTATGATATATGTACGTCACTCAATGTCGATATATTTTAGTATTATTGTTTATATAGTTAATTATATGTTCTTCGCTAGTACACCATTACTCATAGTATACTAGTACAGGTACTTTTTTTAGGCTAAACTATATATGGATAGTAGTACGTATAATAAAAAAGCTGGTGATATTACGCTTGCATACGTCTTTGTGATGCCTAAAGGTACCTTATACATAGGTATGAGTAAATGTACTAACAAAAAAAAAACTTAGTGTAGAGTGGTACAAGTAGTATATATAGGATTAAGGGTAGTATATGATTATATGTAGGTATATAGAGTATAATAGGTATATGAGTGAATATACACGAACACGACGAGACGACAACACACACCCAAAAGTATGTGTATACAGAGCAAAAATACACACACACACACTGTCGAACAGAGCGAGCAAGCACACACAACACGAAGCAACAACTCACACACACTAAACACACACAGCAACCACACCACACACACACACACACACACACACACACACACACACACACACACATACAACACACACACACACACACACACACAGCGTCACACATCATCACGCAACAGCCAACACCACACACTGACCCATACCTGATCATTTTTATGGCTATCAATGTTGCATTCGCCGGTTATGTTAAATGCATAAAAACGTGCGATTAAATAATAAAGGTAATATATTATTATAGAAGATAAAGATAAATCGTGGTATAGTATGAAGGGTA